TGTAATACGTATGGAAAAATCGAAAAATAGAATCGCTATTTGGACAATTCGATACGAATTTCGACTCGTCTCGTAAAATAGAATCCGTCCTCTGCACTGTTAAACCAGACCAGCTCAAATGACAAAATGTGAAAAAGCTTTTCTTTGCAGACCATCCCCTGGAGAATCTTCGGCGTCCAGCTTCGATGCTCCAGAGATAAGAAATTGTAATATGTAAGTTAACATTACGTTGCAATAATCAGCCTTAACTGATTGTGAAGATGAAAGCAGTGGAGATCATCCATTCTACCCCATCAGCTGGATGTTGAAAATATTTCCTAATTTAGCAAGTAACCTTGATGTAGTTTTGTACCAACATTGTTTATGATAAGAAGAGTTTAGTTTTTTTGTTTGGTGTACATAACCTTATATTTAAGTTGTCATTGTTGTCAAGAAAATACCGCCAATGTGACACGTTATTTCTTTCACGTTAAGTTATTTGTTCTTTGTTAATAATAAATGGTAAATTATCAATTCGGAATACATCGTATTAATTATTCCCAAGTCCCCAACATCAAAAATAATCATAACAGGTTATGGGCCCAGACACAGCAGGGCAGTTAAGTAAAGACTAATTAAAATTAGCAGTACCTAAACATTTACGTAACAGTAAAAAAAAAATGAATGTCTTAACAGTACCACAGTTTAACTCACAAAATTTCAATAATTGGATGTTCAGAGTTGGGGCACTATTGGGGGAAAAACAACTAGAAGATATACACTGGAGAAGACAATTGATGATTTCTCTGGAGATAGAGAAAAAGCAGATTTCAAATTAGACATAATCAGGGATTCAAAAACGACCAAGGACATGATAAAATCCTTAGAGGATGTATTCCAAAGAAGAAGCGTTTTTACCAAACTTACACTGAAGAAAATATTGCTGAAACTTGAACACAAAAGAAATGAAAAGCTGGAGGACCACTTTCAGATTTTCGATAATATAATGAGAGAGCTGAAAAGTATTGGGTCAAAAGTGGAAGAAGAAGATAAAGTTTGCCACCTTCTATTAACCCTCAATGAACAGTATGACTTGCTTATTCCTGCAATAGAAACCATGAACAGTACAGTCACTATGGACTTTGTGAAATCTCGCTTGCTGGATGAAGATATGAAGCTGACAACAAAACAAGGCCAGAGTAGTAACCAGTTAGAAGCATTTTTCAAAGCACAACCTTATCTTTGTTATAAATGTCGGAAAGTTGGTCAAAAAATTGCAGACTATCATCAGAACCAATCTAGAGGATATTTTAGAGGTCGAAGAAATACTTATAGAGGCTCTTATCCACATGGTAGAAGTAGAGGACCACCACGAACTAATAATGGCCAAAGTCAAGCAGGATCTCATGCAAACCAGGCAGATGAAATTGCATTCATTGCATTGAACATGGGAAATATATCACGCAATTTAAATCGTTTTGTTTTAGATTCAGGTTGTACCCAACACATGGTAATGGGCAAGCTTGAAGAATATATATCAGATATCAAGGAACTGGAACATGAAATTAAATAAATAAATAAATAAATATGGTCTTCATTTTTTAGCAAAAAAAAAATAAAATTTTCACAATTCAAACCCAAAGGGTACAAGGAACCAGCTTGAAAACATTAAATCTTAAGCAAAAAAAAATAAAAATTATAATTTTTCCCAAACGTTAAGTCCCTAATAATACTTATAAGCTAACTAACTAAACTAAATAAAATAATATAAATCTAGGTACTTAGATACTTAATTATTTTTCTCCAAACTAAGCATGCTATACAAGAAAAAAAAAGAACAAAACAAAAATGTGTGCCTACGGTGCCTAATCTAAATGAAATTTGGATAAATCAGCAAGATACCGATTTTTAATGACATGATTCTGTACTAACCGAGACATAGGTAAACTTCAACAGCTGAGTAAAAAAAATTTCACACCTTTTTTAAAACCAAATTCGGATTTTTCAATAAGCGCGGCAGGAACAGCATTGTATATTTTGGATATTTGATAAGCAGAACCACGTTTAAAAACTCTATTTTATGATTTGGAACCCTTTTCCTGTTCACATGTCTCAAGTTCCGAGAGTGAGGATTTCTATTAAAAATAATTTTATTAAATAAATATGATGGCATTTTATTCAAAATAATTTTGTGAAAAAGGCATGCCGACAGTAACTTCCGACGGTTAGCCATATTAAGCCAGTTTATTCGTGGATCCTTTAATTTGTGTGATATTGGGCGTGGCGCCTTATTCCACATATCAAACGTAGATAGGAGTTTTGCACTACCTGGATTCTTTTTGTATCTCTGGAGTCTATACAAGGCCCATGAACTGCGGAGCCATAGTTGAACCTGGAGAGAACTAAAGATTTACATAAAATTATCTTAACAGGAAAGCTCACAAACTGTCTCACTGAGAAAATGGTTAAGGTAAGCTGATAGTATGCATTGGTTAATATGTGTTTTAAAACGAAGGTGACTGTCAAAGAGAACTCCTAAATTTCGAGCTGAGCTTGAAAATCTTATTTCAGCACCCTGTACTCTGACAGAAAACTGTTGTGAATCAATTTTAACTCTATTTTTTAAAAGAAAATTCGTTTTTTTTTTGCATTTATGTAAAGCCCATGATTTTTTTACCACTATACTAACTTATCTATGTCGCTATTATTTGATTAATTTTTGGTAAAAAAAAAATAGTTGAATTTGGGTATCATCACAATATAAAACAGATTTACAAAATTCAAACACTTCTGGCAATTTATGGGTATAAACAATGTAAAAAAGTGGTCCCAAGATGGATCCTTGTGGAACTCCAGCTCGAAGATTCCTAGCAGATGATATATCGATACCTATTTTAACCCTTTGTGATCTCCCAGCTAGTAAATCTGCACGCAGTTTTAAAGGAATGTCAGCAAATCCAATAGATTTTAATATTGCGCTCATAAGAGGGTAGCTTATCGTATCGAATGCCTTCGAATAATCGATCAAAACAAGTGCTGTAAGTTCAGTATTGTCCGCCTCTTTAATAATGTCGTCAGTCAAATCCACAAGGGCCGTTTCACAACTATAATTCTTACGAAAACCACTCTGACATGAGGGCAGGATATCATTTGTATAGACAAAATGTCGAATTTGCTCGTAAATAACCCGTTCTAAAACCTTAGAAAGAGTACATAGAATGCTCACTGGTCGAAGATATTTACTTTCTTGAACCTTATTTGTTTTCGGGAGAGGCCTTACCACTGCCTGTTTCCAAGCTGTAGGAAAAACCCCCTGTTCAAGACAAGAGTTCACAATATGTGTTACGTGTGGAAGAATTCGAGGACAGTTCAAAATCATTTTTATGTTTATGCTATCAGCTCCTTGTGCATTTGATTTGATATTATAGAATATTTCTTGAATGTATTCAATGTCAATATTTTGAAAATTAAATTTTCCCCAACTTGGCTTAACGGATAAAGGCCGGAACACATCTATCATGCATTCTTCCGATCCGACTCCGATCATACAATCAGGGTCCTTATTCTTGGAACAGGGGAGCAGCGTTCCCAGGAGAACAAGTGTTCCGTCTTTCTCAATGATATGCAACTGATAATATGAGTAACAAAGACAGAACACTCGTTCTCATAGAAACGCTGCTCCCCTGTTCCAAAAATAGGGACCCTGATCCTGATTGTATGATCGGAGTCGGATCGGAAGAATGCATGATAGATGTGTTCCGGCCTTTAATATGAATCCAAAATATTCGGATCAATTGGTGGAATTTGAACGGAAGTTGTATAATGATTATTAATGGCATTTACATCTCGGATTGATTTCTTCTTTGCCTAGATTAAACCTTTTTAAAGTTTTCCATGTTTTTGTTACTCCTCCTATCCGTATTTGGTGTTCAAAATAAGCGCGCTTTTCATTTCTTGTTGCTAAGGTTGCATAGTTACGCAAAGACTTGAAATACTCTCTATCCTTATTACTTCGAGTGCGTTTCCATTTAGCCTTAGCTTTGTTTTTAAGCTTTAGGATTAACTTTAAGGTCGGTGTTAACCAAGGGCTGTATCTTTTTGTTACTTTAATTCAGTGGCGACGCCAGGGTTTTATGTTAGGGGGGGCCAGACTGGGCCAGAAAAAATTAGGGGGGGCCAGGTTGGGGCAGAAAAATTTAGGGGGGGACACTTGATTTTACTTTTTTTGCTTTGCTTGGATACCCTATTTAAATCAATTTATATCAAAAACGCTATGCATGGTAATATTGAGGTGATAGAAAACAGAGAAGTAGGTATAGGTGATAAACATCAACTTTAATAACTTCAATTATCTAGGTATATTGAAACATACAGAAAGAAAAAAAAAAAAAACATCAACGCATAAACAAGACATATCCTAGTACAAATAGTTATTTTCCTCACAAGTGCGCAAAGTATTAATTTTCCGCAAGCAAACCCAGTTTGTATAGAATATAGATGATATAGAAACAGAGGAAAAATTTTTCATCATGTGTCAAAGTCGACAGGTGTACTTATTGTTGTGCATAGTTTTACTTTTTTGCACTCAATGCTGATGAATACCTTATGCGCACAGAGTGCGAGAAAGTATAACTTTGAGCACGGAAATGCGTGCGGAAAACTACTACTTTGCGCACGCTCGTAGGAAAAATTATTTTACCGAAACCTAAAACCTGAAGCAGTAAAATTCTTCGGTTATTATGATTTTTAGCAAAAGTATCAACAATATTATCGAGATTCATATTTTTAATGCGATCTTTTTCAATACTTAAAATAGAAACCGCAGAAAGTCTGTCATTAAGCATTGTAGTTCTTGCATAGGTCTTAACTCTGTTCAAACAAGAGAATGATCTTTCTGGAGATGCAGTTGATGCGGGTATTGACATAGCGATTTTTGTTAATACATAGATATTTTCAAAAGTTGGATAATATTCTTCTAGCAGTTTCAATAAGTCTTTCATTGTTGTGATTTCTGTTTTTTTTTAAAGTAATCTTTTTAAAAGAATACATTCAGCTTTTAATGTTTCTTCTTCCCAATCTGTGCAAATATTATTATAGGAACCAGCAATGGATAAAAGGTCTGATAAATTTAAAAAGTTCTTGTGTCCTGGCTGCAATGAACTTAATCCATTAAATAACTTCTTATTATTCGAGAAACGGGACTGAAGCTCAGTTATTATTTTATCCAAAATTGGAAGAAAAACGCCAATTTTTAGACCTTGTTTTGACGTATCCAATTCATTTTCGACTGCAATTTCTGTAAAAAACATATTGAAACGGGCGGGTAGCTGCTTTTTACGTTTGGGAACTACTTCTGAACTGTCGCCAGTTACCGTCCATAATTTGTCCACCCTTTCCCAGATGGCATCCCAATATGAGCTTTGATCTCTCATTAATTGTAGTTGCTGAACAACCTCTTCTACCAAAATATTTGCACGAGCATAGTCCATTTCATTTGATTGCAAATAGTCAGATAAAGAAGATATTATGCTGAGAATATATTTAAAGCAAACTATGTAAGTTATAAATGTTTTGGTTAAGGAATGTAGCAATCCTTTGGCTTCCAACCCTCTGTCAGTATTGCGAGAATACACCAAATATAAGGTAACATACAAGGATTCAAATGTATCTTCAAGCACGCTACACATTTTGTACTGAATTGACCATCTTGTGTGTTGAAGCCGTTTTAGTTCTTTTGGTTGCTTACCAGGATAAAGTCTTTTTTGTACATTTATAAATTCCGTATGTATAGATGAATGACTTATAAGAACACAACTGCTCCGCCATGTTAAAAAACTGTGAGAACTCTGGAATACCTTTACAGCAGTCTACGATGGCCAAGTTTAGGACATGATTGTAGCAATGAACGTAAACTGCACTGGGTACTTCTTTTTTGAACAATGTTTGAACACCTTTCAGATGACCACTCATAACACTTGCGCCATCATATGCTTGGCCTACGCAGTTTTCCATCAAAACACCGTTTTCAATAGCGTTTCCCTTATTGTGGTGAATAGCGACTGCGCATCTAACTTTTCACAGTGAATAAATCCTAAAAATATTTCTCTTATTTCTGACTTATAGATGTACCTCACAATTATTGACATTTGTTCTTTTTTTGACAAATCTTTGGTTTCGTCGGCTAAGACTGAATAAAATTTAGCTTCGGCAATTTCGTCTCTTCCGGATTGCAGAACTTCATTAGAAAGTATTTCCAATAACTCATTTTGTATACTGGAATGAAGGTATTTCGCATTACCCGCAGCACTTGAGATTTTTTTTTAATACAGGGTCGTGATTTGCAACGAACTCCGTTAGTTCTAGAAAGTTTCCTCTTCCACTGGATTCATCGTGTCCCCTTTGCGCAATTTCTAATTTACAAGTTAATAGAAGAATTTCAGCCAGTGTTTTGATGTTATACCGATTTTCTTCAATGAGTTCATTGTTTTTATTTTTAATTAAACTTTCTACTCCACCAACAGAACTGGATCTTTGGAACTCCCTAAATCTTACCAAACATTCTTTGTGAGCTATTGAGCTGCTATGTGCAGTAAATCCCGAATTAGATTCAATAGCTTTTTTCCACTTATTATAACCAATGATAAATGATTTTTCCTTCACATCTGCTTTGTGGAAGAATCTACAATAGAAACAAAACGCTTTGTTTTCTATTGCTGAATATTCCAACCAAGGAAATGTTTTATACCAGTTTTTGTTAAACGCTCTTAAACGATCACCTATTTTTGTTACTGGATATTCCCTTAAAATCGGTTGTGAGGGCGGATCATGAGGAGTTTTTGATAAATCTAAGGCGGTAGGAAACTGGCTCCAGTTATTTTGTGCTTGCTCCACATTACAACTTGACGTCGACGGTTCATTGATATGTTCACTCGATCTATCCGTACTTTCTGTGCCATTTTCATCCCTATTTTCATCTATTTCTTCTTCCTGCTCAGTCTCATTATTTGCTATTTTCCTTTTTTTGCTTTCTGGTGATCTGATCGTTGTTGAAAAATAATCTTTTATTGATCTTTTACTGGTCATTGTTGGTCTTGTTTCTAAAAATATCAAAATGATAGGCGAAACATAAAGGACCCCGCACATTTCTTATGGAAAAGTGATCTATGTGGAATTTTGCTGAATTTTTGATATTGTGTATAGGGAGTCATCCTTAACAAAAGTGATCATTGCGCTAATGTTCAATACCTAACAGTTTTCAAGATATCAATTAAAAACTTTTTCAATATGATACCTACTCTTCAGTATGACGTCACTCACAGCAACGAAAATTATTACTATCCTTTCCCCTTTTGACTTTGACTTTACTCTTCTCCTTTTAACATTAAGAAAAAAAAAGATAGCGATAGCGATTAGGGACAATTAGGTAGGTATGTAAACAACACCTAGCTCCTGCCGCAATCGTCAACTTCATGTCATGATGTTTGTCATATAGCATATAGCGATTTCATTTCTACCTGTTTTGGTTTTTTTTTATTTCCTAAATGTTGAAAAGAGAAGAGTATAAGTATAGGTAGTCAAAGTCAAAAGTGAAAAGGATAGTTATAATTTTCGGTGCTGTGAGCATACTGGTGACGTCATACTGAAGAGTATCAAATTAAAAAAGTTTTTAATTGATATCTTGAAAACTGTTGGGTATTGAACATTAGCGCAATGATCACTTTTGTTAAGGACGACTCCCTATACACAATATCAAAAATTCAGCAAAATTCCACATAGATCACTTTTCCATAAGAAATGTGCGGGGTCCTTTTTAATTTAATCCCCCACCCCAACCATAGAACCCATATTAAAAATAATATTTCCTATATACCTCTAAACCAAAATTAATAATTTTAAACAAAACTTACCTTTGATTCCTTTTAACTCACACAAAATAATTATTAGAGAATGATTAATACCACATAACAATTACAGTCAATACATAATATGTGCTTCAAAACCTTGAACACACTGCCATGCCGACATTGAAATGTTTAGGGGAATCCCAGGAAAGCGATAGCAGTGTTGGTTGCCTACTAGATATCGAATTAACTGGCAGATGCCGCCAATGTTGCATTGCATATGCATTGTTGCCAATGTATGCGTTGTTCTTATAAGCTGGTTCAGCAGAAGCTGCTAGAATCTTGTATTGCGTGACTTAGTAAGTAGAGTAATAATAATTTCGAGTCTCGCTTATCAATATTTCTATTCTCGATACGATATTTTTAAAATATCGATACGCTTCAAGTGGCATCGATATTTAAATCCATATTTTGATACCTGTATCGATATGCTTATTTTTTTTTGGCGCCATCTGTAAGCACCAAAGAAAATGACAAAAATTGAAAAAAAAGTATTTTTTTTTCTCCTGCACTATTTTTCGAGAAAGGGAAAGAGACATACGTTATAACATAATATTTTGTTATTTGACAACATGATTATCCTTTTAGGCCTCGACAACATTGCTAAAAACAGTATCGATACGTATCCGATACGATGCAATAAATATACATCGATACAGAGTGTTTCTAAATCGGTATCGATACGGTGTCGATATACGCTAGTCGAACTTATTGCAGATTTCAGAGGAATCAACATTTTGTCATATTTTTGATGTAGACTTTTTCATGCGACTTTTGGCACGAGCGCAAGTTTTCAGGGGGGGCCGGCTAAATTTCAGGGGGGGGCCCGGCCCCCCGGCCCCCCCGGCCCCCCCTGCCCCCCCCCCTGGCGTCGCCACTGCTTTAATTTCTTTAAAAGGTGCAAACTTATCAAATAAATTTAGTATGTGTGTGTAAGTGTTTAAAAGTTCCAGTTTTGTATTAATATCAGGCACGGTACAAATTTCATCAAAAGGAATTGGGACGGCCAAAGATAAAGAAATATTATGATTATATGTAAGAAAGAAAGGTACAATTAAAGGAATTTGTCAAAGAAAGGAAATAACAATAGAAGCACTGCTGGTTGAAGGTATGTCACATAATCTTTTATCAGTAGGTAAGTTACTTCAAAAAGATTTTCAAGTTGTTTTTAACAATAAGTCAGGTAAAAATTGTGCCATTCTTTCCAAAAATAATTCTGCCTTTCATTGTAACTCAGAAAATGATTTATTTTTCTCAAATATAGATTTTAAAACTTTTGAATGCTCGGTTGAATGTAGTAATGTGAAAAATAATTATACAGAGGGTGAATGTGTTTACCAGACAAATGAAGATGTTGACAAAAATATTTGGCATAAACGATTAGGTCACATTAATAGATATAATTCAAAGAAGTTAGGATTGCCGTTCAGTAATGAAATTTGTAAAATTTGTATAAACGGTAAAAGTTCTAGGAAACCTTTTTATATGTGTCTAAAGAGAACTGTCAGAATTGGTGAGTTGATTCATTCAGATATCGCAGGCCCTATAGCAACGCCTACTCCAGAAGGATATAAATACTTTCAGGCTGTGCTTTCGGGTTTTAATTGATGATTTTTCTCATTTTTTGGTAGTTAAATTATTGAAAAACAAAAGTGAGATCATAATGTTATCGATTTTATTAAATTAATTAAAACTCAACATGGGCTTAAAACAAAACGAATCAGGGTTGATAATGGTGGAGAATTTTTCTCAAATAATTTTAAAGATTTTTGTAAGGACAAAGGTATTAAACTTAAGTACACGATGCCATATACTCCACAACAAAATGGAACGTCAGTGAGAATAAATAGAACTTATCTTTTAGATAAAGTAAGAACAAAATTTGCAGAAACAAATCTACCTAAGGAACTTTGGGGTGAAGCAATTCAATGTTCTGCGTATGAACTAAACAGGTCACCTACTGAAGCAAACAATGGTGAACCACCGGCTTTGAGATGGTATAAAAAGAATGACTTGTCAAGCTTAAAAGTATTTGGAAGTCAAGCATGGGCAGTAATTTTACCAAGACAAAATAAACTGGACAAATGTGCACAACCTTGCATAATGATAGGATATAGCGGAGCAGGATATCGATTATGAGATTATGAGAAGAATATGATTTTTGGTTCAAGAGATGTTCGGTTTAAAGAAAAGTAGATAAATTACAATAATATATTGAAAAATGAAATTAATAATGACAGAAAAGATGTAATAACACAGATTGAGAAAGAATTAGGTATAGAAGAAGGAGAAAACAAGAGATTGAAGTTTATGAAGATGAAAGCGAATCAAATGATAGTAATGGAGAAGAAATGGATAGTCATGAGAATCTAGAAGAAACTATATCAACAACGGATGGAACATCTAGAGGTAGACAGATTAATAAACCAAAATCTCTAAATGATTATGAGATCTACAATGCATATTGCTTAATATCTACAGATCACAGGGGTCCAGTAGAGTACAAAGATGCGATAAAAATAAAAGGATGGAGACAAGCTATCGAAAAAGAATTAAATTTTCATGAAAAACTCAATACTTGGACAGAAACAGATTTACCAGCTGGAAAGACTGCTATTCAGACAAAATGGGTATTTAGGACAAGGAAGACGGTATTAAAAAAGCCAGAATTGTTGAAAAAAGATTTCAGATAGAGGGGGAGGATCCAATTATTCCAGTATATTCACCAGTTGCCAGAATATCTACAATAAGATTATTAATGTCCCTAGCATTATAAAAGAACTTGGAAATACAACAGTTAGATATTCCTACTACTTTTTTGAATGGAGAATTAAAGAGTGACATTTACATTTATGCACCACTATGTATGTATTAAAATTAAATAGAGCACTGTATGGACTCAGAGAGGCACCAAAAGTTTGGAACGATACAATTAACGATTTTGCTGTAATGAATAAAATCAAAATATGATTGCTGTTTGTATTGTAATCAGAATGTATGGATTTTGTTATATGAAGATGATATGTTAGTAGTTGGAAACAATAATGGAGTGGAAGCAACAGTCAAACTATTGAAACAGTATTTTCAAGCAAAGGATTTGGGACAGATTGAAAACTTTCTAGGAATGAATGTTAGTAGAACAGAGGACAAGATAGAAATAAATCAAAGAACATTTATAGAAAAACTGCTAGGCAATTTCAAAATGGAAGAATGTAAAGGGAAATACACGCCAATGGATAAAGGATTCCAATATAATCCAGATAGCGAAATCGTAGAAGTGCCATTTAGGCAATTGATTGGAGGATTAATGTATCTATCAACAACAACTAAACCAGATAACATTTTCGGTTTCCTATTTGAGCAGATTCTTGGATAAGCCAACTGCAGAAACTTGGATCAGTGGAAAAAGAGTTTTACGCTATTTACAAGAAACTAAAGAAAAAGGACTAACTTGCTATAAAAATGATACCAATGATGTTGTATTGAAAGGTTATTCAGATGCAGATTGGGCATAAAAGTGACAGAAAGAGCGTACGCGGCTGTATGATGTTCTATGGCCAATAGTGATGAGCAAATGCAAGACCAAGACCGGGCTAGTCTTGGTCTTGGTCTTGGTCTTGGTCTTGGTCTTGCAGCAAGACTTGCAAGTCTTGCATTTATTTGGGAAATTTTTACTGGAGAAAATTTTTACAATTTTTTTTTTTTTTTTTAAATCGTTTTTCATGCCACTTGAAGTAGGTAAATGTTTAAAGAAAGGGAGAGTACCTATATGCCAGTATCAAAATTTGGGTTTTTCAATATTGAGTACTTCTACCACAGCAGCAAATTTTAACAAGTACTTAAATCAGGCAATTTTTCAAGTAAAAAATGCTCGAAAAAAAATTGGGAGTTAAGGGATCACTTGTTTAAGTTTGACCTTGTAATATTGAAACATCCTTATTCGTATTTACCAGTAGCGCACTCAGAGAATATGTTTGGGAGGCCCCTACATATAGGTTGTGGATTGGGTCTAAAAATCTAAACAAAAATTGAGGTGTCAGGGTGCCACGCCCTGATGTTGCCACATTTTTGTATACGTAAAAATACAGTTTTGGATAGCGGCCTGGGGGGGGGGGGACGGCCCAATGCCCATCCC